CCCACTGCCACCGCTGCCGTCATCATATAAACATGCCTTCTAAGTCCCGCCAACGTCACCATCATCATCGTTCCCGTATTCCGACGTACGCCTAACTGAATGCCAACATGGCCAGCCTAGACAACGGATGATTGTGCTGACCATTCACCCCTCTCACCTGCAATGGCAAACACACAGCACCATCTGGTCGAACTTATCCTGGGCCATTGATGGCACATAAAGGCAGATCGGGGCATTGGCACCGCCGCTAAGAGGCTTTCGTCGAGCTCTGGCTCCTGTAAGGGAGCCGACCTGCGAAAACATCTGCAAACATCAAAATACGGCCACCGTGCCGACAGGCACTGAAATGAGTGCCCCGAGGCCCATTATCTTAAATCCGAGAAACATATATGTATGACAATGCTCAATTTAATGCCCCAGACATTGGCTTTCCGGTCTGTCCCGGGCGCTCCTGGCCGCTTCCCGAGTCTACCGCGTGACTTTCCCGGAGGCCTCGGAAGCGTGGATTGGAACTCAGACTTCAAACATGCACTGAAATTGTTCCCGGGGGACCGTGCTGGAGCGCTCCTCGAGTCCTATTGGGGCGTTGGAAGCCCTTGGGGCCGTCTCAAGAGGCCCGGATCACTGAAACACCGCGAACTTGCTTAGAAAGAATCTTGAATAATGGCAGTGGGACCCCAAAGACCCACCCAAAAAGGCCGCCGAGACCCAAAGAGGCCTCCCAAGAGGGCCCAAGAGGGGAAGTCGAGCTGAAAGGTGGATCCAGGAAGCCTCTAAATGGCTCTCACCTGGCAGCAGGCTCCCAATGAAGGGGCCCAGGGACGCACGAATAAATAGACACTAGCCCCAGGATCCAAACTATTGTTGCACACATTCTGGATTTTCGTCCTCCCCGCCACTTCCCATATGTCCCATCGTTTCCAGGGAATCGTTGTTTATTTTTCTGTGTCTATGCTCGCGGCCGACCACAACGGCAACATACCAGAAAGCTAACACATGATAAACAAGCATATGTGCGCGAACCAAAAACTGAAACATGATGGGGTACCTAAACGGAGAGTGACGCATCGTCGAAACGGCTGGGACGTGGTTGGCGGTTGCGGGGAAGCTGGAAAAAAGAACATGAAAAGCAATATCTGAAACATTCCAGCAACACATTGACGGCAGGGCGCAAGCTGGGTCCAGACCTGAACGTAACACGTCCGAATCCTGCAGACAGCGAGGTCCACATGAAATTGGTTGGACTGTGATGCATATGAGGGCCCCACAGCTGTAGGACACAACTGCACGATCGCCTGCTTCACGCACAGCTCCACCGGAACAGCTACTCACGCGCCGTCCAAGAGCGCAAGGCGCACACCGGACAGAGCACAGGCGCGCGCAGAGCAACAGGAGAGCAGACGCAGGGCCGGCACGCAAAGGCTCTCCGCCCAACGGGGAGGCCCCCGAGACCGGCCGAGCCCGTCGGCGTGCGCAAGAGGCACCGCCGCCCAGGTCGCCGCAGGAGGAGAGGTCCTCTTTCCCGAAACACACAGGGCGCGCGGACGACCTCGGGACCTCGCCGCCCCCTGGGGGGCTTGCATTGAGCGGTCCTGAGTTCAATCGCCACATGTGTAGAAAAGGTTGGGTACGTCGCAGGCCGTAGCCTTTTGGATCAAGGTTTTGCGTTTCCCGGGGAAACGAATGGATACCGCTAGTCCGCGGCTCGACCCCAGAGTTCTCATCGCACCGCTGTGTGAGCCGCCAGGCGACGCAGCTTCGAGTTTTGCACCCTTGCTCACTCATGGGCAAGACCACTACTGGCCATGCCAAATGTACGCAGTGTGCGTATAAGTGGACTTGGCGCGGCAAGGACACATGTTTCTCGTGCAACGCCCCGCTCGAGATCCCCGCGTGCCCTTGGCGTGAGGCCAGCGAGGCCTGGTCTGACACAGGCTGGCGGTCGCGCGGCTACGGCTATGGGTACCACAAGAGGAAGGGGCGAGGCCAGGCAGCAGCTGCAGACGACGACAAGACCTCCCTCGACTCACTACTGCGTGAAATCGAATCTCATGTGGACGCCGGCAACCAGGAGGCCCTCGACATGTTCAAGAAGGTTGTCCTGCCGCCGCCCAAGGAGCCTGTCGAGACCCTGCGCGCCAAGTACCAGAGGCTCATGGGGGCGGAGCGCAGGGCCAACCAAGCGCTGGACAAGGCAGCGCTCTCAGAGCACAAGGCGGCAGTGTGGCTCGCGGAGTGCCGAGGGCGCACCGCAGATGCTGAAGAAGCTTTGGCCAAGGCCAAGAAAGATGTCAGCGACACGCTCGAGCAGATCAACCGTGAGCGGGACACGACCCCTCGCAAGGATGGCTCACCCGCCCCCTGTCGCAGGACCTCGAAGACCTCAACTTCGAGGAGGGGGGGGCGTTCTCGACAGAGGGCCTGGACCTCGACGAGACTGAGAAGCAGCAGTGGGAGACCCGCAAGGCAGCCTTCGCTAAGGAGCTCAAGTCCGCCGTCAAGCAGGCGTTCGGGGCCACGGCGGAGGAGCTGCAGAGGAGGCGCCGCGATTTGGAGGAGCTGCGCCAGCGGCCCCACTCCAAGAGGCGACGCACGGACGACTCAGACCCAGCGGAGTAGGCGGCCCAGCCTGCCGCTGCGGCGGAAGGCGCAGGCGCCAGCGCTGGGTCGAAGGTTGCTGAACCTGGCGCATGCGCCCCTGCTGCTGACGCTGCTGAGCTGGCCCGTGCAACGCGCCAACGGGCAGCCGACGGCGCGCAGCCTCCTGGGCCAGGAGGACAGGCTCCACCAGCAGCATCGGGGCTCTAGCTCGACCAAGCGGCACAGGCGCGGCGCGGCGAGGAGCCGAGGCGGGCTCAAGCCGCACCAGAGGCCAGGGCTGCAGCTGGTCGGGCTCAACGCCAACGCATGGACTACAGTGATCGACTACACCGACGGGGCCACCGACCTCGCACGGCATCATATCTTATTTCTTCAGGAGCTCCGACTCCCACCTGACTGGCGGGACGAAGTGGCTGCCTCAGGCTTCGGACGGAATCTCATTGCCGCCTTCACATCCTGTGCAGTGGGTGAAGGTGGCGGAAGGAGTGCTGGGGTTGGAATCCTAGCACCACGCAGTATTGGCCTCACAGTCCTGGAGGGAAAGAGCGGATACGACGTTTCGCCACCAGGATCGGAAGGCAGAGCGGCAGCAGCATGGACGCCAGCAGGACAGGCTGGAGGACTCATGCTTATCAGTGCGTATTTCTGGACCAACGAGTCTTGGACCATCAGGAACTTATCCATCCTCGACCCCACCGGGGACCTCATCGTCTCGTACGGAATCCCTTGGGTGTTGCAGGCTGATTTCAATAATGACATCCAACCATTGGTGGACACAGGCTGGATAGAAGACGTCGCGGGTGTGGCACTTGTCCTTGACCAACCTACGTGTGCTGGGATGGGAGGTGGCCGCACTATTGATTAGTGTATTGTTGACTCTACCATCGCTGGGGCCTTTGGGCAGGCCACAGTGCTGGACAGCGCCGTCTTCCTTCACTCGCCAGTACAGATCACGCTTCAGCGGAGCATGCGTGTCAAGCATGGTTGGAAATTGTTTCGTCCGACGCCCGTTCCATTGCAGAGGCCGCCAGCATGCGTGCCAGAGCCGCCTGAGTGGCCAGAGTTCGAGCACCAAGTGGATTGGACGGACGAGGGCAAGTCCACCAAATGGCGGTTGTTCTCACGGCTGGCTGAGCGTGAACTGGTGGGTATTTGTCAGCTGAACGACGCCAGTGCTTACTGTGGCAGAGGGGACTACCCTCGGTGGATTCGCCCCCCGATGTCGAACTCACCGCGTGGGCTTCAGCCAGGGACCTCAGGTTTGTTCGGCCTTTCCTGGAGCCCATCCGTGCTGCCCTTCGGCAGCGGCGAAACTCCCCTGGGCGCCAGCAGGCCATTTTGGCCTTTGTGTGTAAATCTTTTTGGACCCAGGGCAAGGTCTGGAAGGCTGGGCATAGCGACTCACGTGAGTGCCAACTCTGTCAAGCGCCCGAGGGCACTTAGCACCACCGGTTTTGCAAGTGCCCATGTTTGAATGGAGCCCGAAGAATTGCGGCCGAGGACGTGCCCGAGGTTGCCCAGAGAGCGGCGGACTCTTCGCCCTCCTCCGTCCTATTTTCGCGAGGCCTCACGGCCCACCCCGTTGAAGACCCTTTTCCACTTGCCCAGGATTACATCGAGGGGCTAGACCCTGAATTCGGCGATGACCCCCTCACGTCGGGGCTTGCGTACTCCGACGGATCGGGGATAGGCCCCTCAGGGTGCAAGTCGTTCGGATGGGGTTTCGCGTTTCTCGACGGGGAAGGTCGCGTCGTCAAGGCGAGTCGTGGCACCCTGGGGGGACCTCGCCTGATGGGCTCGGTCCTGAGAGCTGAACTCATGGACCTTGTTAATGGCCCTGCAGCACGGGTGATCCCCCCTTCAGGTAGCAGTTGACAACAGTACAGTGCATCGAGGCTTCCAGAGAGGGGAGGCTTGGTGCACTAAAGCCAGGAGGCCGCACGCAGATGTGTGGCGTCGTATTTGGTTGCTTGTGCGAGACGAGTTTCAAGAACCTGGTGCGCTCGAAGTTGTCAAGGTGAAGGCCCACTCGGGCCGCGACCCCGATTCCTTCGTCGGCCAGGCCCGCCTCGATGTCCTGGGAAACGCGCAGGCGGACCTGCAGGCCGAGAAGGGCGCGGCCCTTCACGGTCCCCCAGAGGGCCCGAGGCAGGTCTGGCAGCAACGATCCAAGGACTCGATCAATATGTGTAATTTTGTAGCCAGCATGACCATGCAAGTTGGCACGTTCAAGGACACCACTGGCCGCCAGGCCCAGGCTCGGAGTGGGGTTCGCCTTCGTCGGCGTGCTCGGGAGGGTCCCCCCCTGGGACCCGCCCTCACAACATGGTCTGGGACTGTAAGGCTTGGAGGTGTCAGCAGTGCGGTCGTTTCTCGGGTACGTCTCAGGGCATGCGTGCGCTTTTTCGCACTCCCTGCAGGAACGTACATGCTAGGGTGGCCCGCTTCGTTCTGCCTGCTAGACCCTCGACAGGGCCACCCAGCCGACAGCATGTTCTCTTGCGTGCTGAAGGTTTTGTGTTCTGTGGCAATTGCGGTGTCTTCTCGAGCGGGAGGGCCAAGAAGCTATGCCTGCCATGGGAAGGAGAGCCTGCCAATGCGCAGGCCAAATGCCGCCGAGGCAAGTTGTTGAGGGGAGAGAACCCGTACACAAGTCAAAGACTGTGCGTCGGGGAGGCGGTCCCTCTCCCACCCGCCGAGCAGCGGGCTGTGCTGGCAGCACTGCAGGCTCGCTAGCACTGTTTCCTTCGACCTCGGTGAGCTGCGGTGCGCCATCGGGGAGTTCGCAAACAAAAAACAAACGTACGTCGCAGGGTAATTTCCGAAACACGCATGACGCGCGTTATGTGAATGGGTGGGTGGGTGGGTGGGTGGGTTCGCTGGCACATGACATAACAGAACACAGCCGCGCCCGGCCATCGAATTGAACCCAATGGAACCCCGATAGGGACCCTAAGGGAACCCTGTGGGAAGTCTGCGGGGGCCATGCGGGAACCCTACGGGAACCCTGTGAGCCTTTTGGGAAACTTATGGAAACCCTATGGGGACCCTACGGCACCCAGTGTGACACCTACGGGAACTCTGCGGGAACCCTCAGGGAATTCTGAAGGGACCCCCTTGGGAACCCGATGGGAGCTCCATGGGAGCCCATCTAAGATCCCCACCTGGAACCCGTTCCCGTTGGACCGCTGGACGGACGCAACGGGTACCCCAGCGCCAGCCGCGCCCTGGGCACTCAAGATCGGTCCTGGCGGGTGAAGCCCTGCCCTAGCTAATCGAGACAAGCACTGGCTAGTCAAGCCCCGCCCTGGCCAAGCAAGCTCCGTCCCTGCTGATCAACCTTGAGTTTGTACCCCCGGAATGGGTACGGATAAAATGGGCCCGATGCCCAACAACAAGTGTTGTCCAAAACCGACAGCTAACGCTGTTGGGTAGGCGGCCACCGATCTCAAATAGACAACGACCCAGGCCTCGCCCACAGCGAACCCCGTCCCAAATCAAGAAGAACTGCTGCTGGACTTTGTATCCGTGTTTTCGTACCAATTTCGCTCGCACCGATAGAGAATTCGCCCCCCCTCTCCCCCGTGCTCCCCTCCTGTCCCTTCACCCCACCCCGCCCGACCCCGCCCCTGCCTCTCCTCTTCGCGCCCTTCCCCCGCCCGCACCCTCCCTCCCTCTCCCTTTGAATATCCAGAGATCCGAAGCCGGAATATAACACACAAATCTCGCAACGGGCAGAAAACCCCGAACGCCCCCGGGAAGCGCGGGGCCCGATTTGCAACACGCAGAATCCTGCATTGGCGCAACCACTGAATCCGATTTGCAAACATTGCAGCCAGGTGTAATATGTGATATCTCTCGCAGTTTGAGTCGGTCGGTCCGGTGGCGGGGACTGCACAAACAAACAACACGTGGAAATACGAACCAAAAGAACCCATTGCCACAGGGAGGCCCTCGCGCGCCAGGGGGCGCGCCTCGATCCCCCCGGCCGCCCTAGACTCCGAGATCTGGGCCCGGAGGTCCTTGAGCTCAGGGAGGGGCCTGCAGGAGGGAGGGGATGCGGCGGGGACTAGCTGGAAGGCAGGCTGGGCGCCAAGGGCCGAGAGTGGGAAAGGCAGCCGGGCGGCCGTTCGCGACGGCCCAGCCAGCTGGCGCTCACGCGTGCCCGGCGAGAGGGAGGGGCTGGGCGGCAGGGGGTGCGAGCAGGAAGGGCAAACAAGGCGGCGGGGCCGCGACGGCTGGCTAGTGACCCAGCCCGTAGCCAAGAGGAGGCGAGAGGGTAAATACAATTGATACTCTCTAAGCTTGCAAACAAGTTTGGTCGCTGTGGGGCTTCCGTGGGAAGCTTCGTAGCCACTTGGAGGCATCTTGGCGGAGGTTCTGAATCATCGCGCGCTCTCCTGCGCCATCTTAGAAGCAACCTTGGCCCACCTTGGGTCGATCTTACACTGTCTGAAGGCCTTCCCGGGTCGTAGGGGGTGAGGAGGAGGTGAGAGAGGAGCACAAGGAGGAGGTAAGGGAGGAGGTGAGGAAGGAGGAGCGCAGGAGGGTGATGAACGTGGTCAAGTGTGCAACCGCCCACCGTGCGTGACGACGACAGACACGAGACGTACTCTTTCGGGCCTTGGCCTCGACCCACTTGCCAGTAATGTTGATGTTCATGAAGTACGTCTCCGCGCAGGCGCCACCCACCTGCTGGAGAGGAGGAGGGAGGGGGAACAGAAGGAGGAGGAAGGAGGGAGAAGGGAGGAGCCAGAAAGAGGAAGATTAAGAATGAGACATTTTTCAACATCAACAACTGCCACCAGCAATACTAGAGTGTAATGATCATAACCAAAGTTCTGCCCGAATCGTTTTTGGGTGCAGCGGGGCACCAAACGGCCCCCGAATACAGAGACTGATGACACGCCTGCCATTGCACAGGAGATCTGGGCCTCCGAGACTCCCCCCCCTCACGGTCGACCCTCACACTTTTTGCTGGGCTGCACCCTGGCCAGAATTTCGCGGCGGATCCGGCCGTGGCCGCCGTGGCGCTCGGGGAGCCCCTGTAAAGGCGAAAACGATCCCAGGAGAGACGGAAGATGAAGAGGGAGACACGGTCCTTCGACGACGTGACGCGTTCGGTAATGTGGCATCGGGCTTATAGACCCCTTCTCAAGGGCTGGTCTGGTCGGCTCCATCAGATCGTCTCCCGGAATGATCTGAGACCTGGAGACGGCCTCCGAGAGGACGAATCAGTGGAAAGACTCCGGGATGGCGGACAACAAAAAAGCAACCAGACGAGCTCTGGACCCCGCAAACAGCACCACAGAGGCTGACACCGTGGACAGACTCAGGAATTTTGAGAACAACACCATCGGAGCACACGCCGTCAGACTAGGTCGGTGGAGGAAGGGGAAGGGCAGTGAGAGGGAGGAAGAAAAGGAGGAGGTGCAAGATCACTGCCTGGGAGGTGCTCTGGGGAGGGGGAAGAGGCGGCGCAGGAAGAGGGGGGAGGAAGGTGGGCGGGATGCGGATGTTAGCCAGCGTGGGCCCCAGACAGTCTTGTCTTGCTATAATACATATGTGCGGTGCAATGTACGTGTTGCAGTGTAGGTGGTGCAATCTGGGTGGTGCAATCCATGTGGTGCAGTCTATGTGGCCGCAGCAGTGCAAAGCGATGTAGAGCGATGCAAAACAATGCACGCGAAATCGCAACCCGCAAAAGTGCAGGCACTCCTTGGGAGATGAGGATGGCTGGGTGCCAGAGCAGCAGCACGGCCTCCGCGGCCCTCCCGAGCCCAGAGGCCGAGAATGGAGCGGCGTCCAGCAACAGCGACCCTGGAGCAATCGGGGATCGAAGAGGAGCCACTTCAGAGGAGGAGGAGGCACTTTGGAGGAGGCCCCAAGGAGAAGGCACTTTGAATGACGAGAGAGAGGAGAAGGGAAACAAAACTAAGAAGGGCGATGCCCGCGGCCGACGACGAGCTCCCTCCTCCTCCCCTCCAGCGGCGACGACAACGACGACCGATCGACCGACCGACGACCGAACGACCGAGACGACGACCGCCCGACCGACGACCGCTTGGCTGACCGGCGACGACCGACAGATGGATCGACCACGACAGCGAGAACGACCGATCGTTCGACCGACGACGACCAACGACCATCCGACAACGACGACTACCAACTGACGACGACGACCGACCAAAGACGGCGACGTCGACGTCGCCAGCCGATCTGAACTCGCCAGACATCAGTTGCAGGACCCATCTCGGGCTCCATCTTGACAGGCCTTCCGAGCCAAGTCCTGGTGTGGCGACGCGAGCCCCCAGTGACATTCAAAGAACCTCGAAGCAAAGACAACGGCGACGGCGACGACGACGATGACGATGAGGACGGCGACGACAACGGCGACGGCGACGGCGACGACGGCGACGGCGATGGCGAACGCGACGACGAAAGCGGCGGCGGCTGGGGGCGAGAGCGACGGGGAGACGGAGGCCTGAAGGTGTCTGGAGGTGCCCAGGCCCCAACTGGGCGTCGCTTAGTGCGGGGGCGATAGATGGGGGGGGGGGACACGTTTCGGTCCCTAGCGGCTCCTTTTGAGTCCCAAAGGGCCCCACTCTCCAGCCCTTTCTGCCCCCCACTAGTCGCCCCCCATTACGCGACGCCCGACCCAAGAGCACGCTGGAGGCTTCGCAAGGCGGGAGGGAGAGCAGACAAAGAAAGCAGAGGCGGCGGAGGAGGTGGAAGGAGGAGGAGGAGGAGGAGGACGACGAGCTCTTCCTTCCCCATCAAGCTCCCTCTACCACGACGACGGACCGACTCGGATCGACGACGGCCGACTGACCGACAACACAACCGACCGACCAACGACCGACGACGGACCGACAACGACAATAAACAAGTCCCGACCACAGCCAACCTGGCAACCAACAACGGCCAACAATCCGCCCCGAGATTGTCGATGACCGACCGACCGACCGACCGACCGACGACGACGACGACGGACCAACCGACTGACGACGAAGAATGACCGACGACCGACTCGGGGTCACGAGGCCAGGCCAGGCCCAAGAGTTTCCGAGGCAGCTCATGGGAGTATACTATACCATCTTCTTGGCTCTTGCCCAACGCTTATCGACGCTAGACCGACGCTAAATCGACGCTAATCGACGCTGGTCGACGGCTAGTCCACGCGCTAAATCGACGCTCTCTCGTCGACTGCCAAACGCTGGACCGACCGACGACGACCCACCGCCGACCGACCAACGACGACGGCTGGCCGACAGAGAGCGAGGCGCCTTCTGTGCGTCGGCGTCCACGCGCAACAGCTCCTGCATCGGGCGCGCATTCATGGGCACGTTGAGCAGCACGTGGGCGCCAGGCATCAGCAGGTCGAAGTGCTGCCCCTGCAGAGGGGACGAGATCGAGGTGTTCGGGCGTGTTCGCCGGTTCTCGGCGGGCTTCCGATCTTCCAGCCTCGGGATGCGTTCCACCAGCTGCGCCTCGCCGAATGCGCTCCGGATGTGTTTGTAGATTGTTCGTTATTCTTCCTTGCCGACACAGACGGTGGTAATGAAGGTTTAACCATGTGATGCGATATCATGTGCACACTCGGCTTGCAGCGCGTCATTCGTGCTGAAGTGGTGCGCGACTGCGGACATGCCTCAAACTCATTCAAAATGTCACGGGCTCGGTGCCGAGGGCGAAGAGGAGGAGGAGGAGGAGGAGGAGGAGGAGGAACGACGAAACACGAGCCTGAAATGGAGCGCCGGCCAACCAGCAAAAGGCGAGCCAATCCGCGTCGACGAGGTCAGGAAAGGTGGGCGGATGAGCAGATTTGTACACCCCTATGGTCCAGATGGCCATCCATCCATCATACATCCACCAACAGAGGAAGGGGACGAGGGGTGGAGGAAGGGGACCCACAGAAGGTATCTTCCATTCCCCTCCCCTCTTCGCTCCTGCGCGCGCGTGCTGGCAAGAGGGAGGGCCGTGCCATAGCTAGTCATTTTTGTTCAGGCCGGCTGACGAGCCGGCAAAGGCCGGCGAAAGCTCACCACAGAGCGCCTGCAAAACTAACCCTCACATACATCACAGGTTTGAGATCGTCAGTTGTTGTGTCGTGTGATTGGGAAGGAAGAAGACTGCACAAACGGAGCCAACACCTGGAGCAGGCTTTCCGCCACTGTTTGGGGGAACGCTCTCCCAACGTAACAAAGCGTGGCTCGCTTCTCCGCGCACTCTCTGGGCCGATGCGGTGGAAAATCCGGCTTTTGCGCAGTCAGGGCGAGGACCGCGACTAACAACGAATGCTCGCGCCATGCACTGACGCGGGGAGGATGAGGAGGAGGGGGGAAGAGGAGGCGGACGAACACAGAAAACGGGACATGGCAAACAACTCAGAGCCCTGCGTGCCCGCGGACGCCGCCGCGAGCCTGCTGAAGGAGCAAATCGGCCATCCGAACTGGAAGGCGGAGGCCGTGCCTCAACATGCAACGCGTGCTGTACAATGTGTAAAGCGCGATGGCGCGAATTGTGCGGTCGCGCGCCGTCGACTCTCCAAACCCTAGCAAATGCTGCAGCCTGTCAGGCGGAGCGATGTCAGAGAGCCGCAATATCCTGGTCATGACCGTTCTGAAAATCTGACAATGCTCGCAGTGCTCGAAGCTGTCGTGGCCCCCCTCCCGCGCCTCAGAAAACAAAGCCGCGATTCCTGCATCCGCCGTGCCGTGACAAAGACGTTGCACATCGCGCGGAGCAGTGCGGCCAGAATGAGTGGCGCACTCGTCCGCCAGACCTCCTGCAATACCTCCGCGGCGCGATCGACCAGGCGACCCGGCAAGAGGGCAATCGCCCAACAGTCAAGGCGACGGCGAAGATGACGCAGAGCTGCTTCGGTGAAATCGGGGACGAGGTGATTGTAGCATACGCGCTGCCACTGCTGTCGCACGATAGTGGACTCGCGGATCAGGCCAGACGCCGCGAGCTGGCCGCGCTCGTCCGCGCGCTCAACGAGAACAAGAAATTGGAATTCAACCAAGGCTGCCAAAATAACCACGCGCCAATATGGCAAGTCGTTATCCCACCGTAGTTGGCGAAGCGCAAGGGATTTCGCTGCCACGCGGAGCCCCCCTTCCGCCCAGGACCTCTCATGACAGACTCCACTTTTTGCTGCGTCGGCGAGCGCGCGACAATCTGGGGCGCCAGCGGAGCAATGGAGGTGCTCGAGGCGGCGGAGGACATCGGGGGGTAGCCATCCTCGGTGTCCCGGGAGAAGCCGGGCTAAGGCGCGACGCTCGTGGGCCCCCCAAGTGTCAGGGACCCCTTCCAGTTGCGCCAAGAAGGACATCGCGGGTAATACGTACATCTTGTAGGCAGCGAAGGACAGTGCCATTCCACCTCCGGCAGCCCCCCAAGTCTGCGCTCTCTCCTGGTACTTATTGAACGGCTTGTTACATGATGTCGACCCGCGCCCCGGACCGATCACGAAGCCCAAGTAAGTGGCAGACTAGCTGACAGTGAAGCCCCCCCACGAGGGGGCACGGGCACTCGGACGAGCCCGTTTTGCCTCCAAGCCGACGGAGTACAGCGGCGCCCGCGGCGGTTTGCCATGGCGCAGCCTCAAGGCGCACTCGTCAAACAATGGTTCCAGGATTCTCGCCGAGACCAAGCCCCGCGGCAAAGTCAAAGCGGGGTCGCCCGCGTACGCTCGCACTAAAGCGTCGGGCACGGCGCGAGAGAGGCGCCGGAGCAGTAGGTCCGCGGCCACTGCGAAAAGCAGCGGCGAAAGCGGGCAACTTGCCAGATGCCCGATTCCATGACGAAGCCGTCGGAGCGCGCGCCACCGACAGAGATGTGGCAGACGGCGTTGCGGTAGAGGGCCTCGACAAACCCGCAAAGCCATCCCGGCCATCCCAGCGAGGCGAAGAGCTCGCGCAGCGGCGAAGTCGAACAGAACCCCAGCGCCGCTCTCCGCAGATAGGCCACGATCTGCATGGTCTCGTCCATGTCGACCAGGTCCATGCTGAGTCCCCCCACGAGACCGCGTTGCATGTCGGAGATCTCTGGCGCCAAACGCGGCTCCAACTTCAAGCGCACCGCCCTTGCCAATATTCGATTCTCCGTGTTCGCGACGTTGAGTGGGCGTGTGTTCTCTGGCGCATGCACAGCTCGCCCAGCCGCGCCCACGCAGTCAGCCTTCCTGGGCAGGAACACGATTAAATAGCCATTGCAAGCAAGGTATTCGCTGTCAATGAGGACAAGGCCCTCAGATGTTTCGATGACGCGGAAGGCGTTGTAAAGCACCGCCGTTGCCAGATGCTTGATCAGCCGCCAAGCGCTGGAAAGGAATGCCATCAGGACCAGGGGCTGAGCTAGACGTGTGCTGGATCGCCTCGGCGATGACACCCCTGCCCAGTTGCCGCGCGGCGGGTCTGCGAGCGCGAGCGCTGTTCTCTCGTTTAGCGCGCCCTTGCTGGATCCGTTGGCTCCGCGTCGTCGAACATGTCGGCCTGGCGCGCGGAGTGGGTCCTCCAAATCCCCGTGGGGAAGCTGCCGTGCTGTCTGGATTCGCGTGAATCGCCCCATCTGGCCCTCGCGCCGCCTGCATGGCCCCTCCACGCCCAGGCCCAAGGCGTTGCAGAAGTCGCCTGTTCTTCTGTCGGCGAGCCGCCGCCTCGTGGGATGAGATCAGGGAGGTCCCCGTGGAACTTGCCGAGCTGCGCGGTTCTTGGCCAATTCCAAGGCGCGCGCCTGGAGCCTGCGATAGCTGCGCGCGTTTCCGCCCAACAGCTGGTGAAGGTTCTGGACGAGGCCACCGAAGCACGAATACTTGGCCAGGCACTCGTTGACGTGTCCGACGCGCAGGTGCTCCAGCGCCCGCAAAAACTCCATTGCAACCCCCGCCCCGCCCGAGGGAGGCCGTTGCAATAGAAGAACCTGGTGGTAAGTGCGTCGCTGCGCCTCGCATGGCACGCATCAGCAATGGCAGCTCGCCGACGCCCGAAAGACGCGGGCGGTCACGCTGCGAGCAACCAAATTCCAAGGCAACGCGGGCGGGCCACTCCGGCATCTGAGAAATGCACTCTAGGATCGGGCGCAGCTCGGGCGGCAAGAAAAAAGGGCGCCGCCGACAGGCGGCAACGGCGCGGTGAGCGGACAAGCCAGGCACCCATTCCAGCGCCGCGAACTGCACGCGACGATCAAGTTGCTCAGTGGTGTGCTGATTCGTGTATATTCGGTCCAACCTGGATCGCGCTTGGGCGGATGCGCGCGCGGGCCCCGGCCGGTGAAACTCGCGCACCCAGAAAGGCTGCAAGATAAGCCGGCGCCATCGGGATTCCTCGGACTGGTCGTGACCACCACCTGAGGAAGCAGTCGTGGCAAAGGCGCGCCAGCCCTCGGGTCGGGCCGCCCAATTGGAGCCGCCAGCCAGGAGGGCGAACGCGATGTGCGCATGGCGCAGTGCCCGAGCAAGCCCGCGGCGCAGTGCCTTCGCGGACTCCCGACAGAGCGTGGGAGGTGCGGCATCGAGTCCAATAGCCAAGCGCCCCCCTCCAGCACGCCCGGACCTGTGGAGAAATATGCCGCTACGATGTCCAACCCCCCCAGCGGGCCTCGACGATCAAGAATGGCAGCCCGCCCAGGGGCGACCGCTAGCTTCCGGAAATCACAGGAACTCGCTCTGGGCAATAATCCCGACGCCCGCAGCAGCCGCAGTAGCCCAAGGCGCCCGCCGCAATGAGTATCCGGGGGGGTCGCGCCACCCCCCTATCCCCATCAGGGTACCGCGCGTCTCGGCCCAGACCATGATGGAGTGCCTTCCGACGTGGCGGTGGGCGCGCTGGGTTTTGCTTTGGCGGCGGAAGGCGCCCTGGGCAAATAAGGCCCGCGCATTCAACGCGCCCACCTCCGAATCTCCGGGCCGCGCTGGTGCGCCATCGGCAGGCTCGGGCGGCAGCGTCGACCGCGCGGGCAATTCAGGCGGCTGTCGCCGCGCGTCGCCCAGGGCGCGACGAAGCCGAGCACGCCGATAGATGCGCAAAGGTTTATCGACTGCGCGGCGAGGTTAAAGGCGAGGTGCTAGTTGGTCTTCCTGGAGAGCGAGAGGAGAGAGCGACGGTCGAGATGGCAGGGGCCCCCCCCGCTGGCGCGGCGCGACCTCCCGAGCAAGCGCAGTCAGATCAGGACCGCGCGCAGCCAGCCCCCCACGAGGAAGGTGGAGTGCGAAGGCGACACCCACCATGTATAATCAACAAGTCGTCCCCAGACAATTCTTTCATTCTTGAGTATCCCCCCTGTAGAACACCAGACCCGACTTAGCCGCCGAGGCCGAGGCTCTGCTCGTGCAGGGCTCGATGCACCTGATCTCGATGCGTTGATTGCATCCATCGCCCTCTCCTCGCCCTTCGC